CTCAAACCTTCCTTTCTTTTTGAAGAGTCTGTTAAAGGGTTATTTTCTTCCATATTTTCAAACACCTCCCCATGGCTTCCATGACCGGGCACAAAGTGGTTTCTGTGAAGGCCATTCGACTGAAACTGCTGATATCTTCCAGCTCTACATTACCATGGACTCCATGACCCCAATCTCACTGTTCATTCTCACATCCTGCCTGGCTGCCACCGTTACACGGCGAGTTATCGTCGCTGTGGACACGAAGCCATGGGTCTCGATGCTCCTGGCACCTCGAGTCGTTGACGTTGATGTTGGCCTGGTAGTATCCTGCGATTGCCAGGCCCTGCTCTTTGCACCACGCATCGATCTGAAAGTACACACGAACAAACATGAACAAAACAACTTTTTATATAACGCAAAACCTTTTACCCGTGCCACACCACACCAAGAGGAGTCGAGGTTCGCAAAGAGGGCGTGGCTCAAAAAGAGCAGCGAGGAGGAGGAGGAGCGCTGGGGAGGATGAATGACTCAGATGGCAGGGATGCGAGAGTCATGAGAGAGAAAGGAAGAGTAGAAGAGAAGGAGTGAGTAGAACTGAGCTGCATGGGGCAGGTGCTGTTTTCACAGGAGGTGGGGCGAGGGGAGGGATTCTGTGGGGATAGCCACACACAAGTCACGTGATCGATGGGAGGGTTGAGCCGATTAAAGATATACAGTAAAGCCTTGGATTGCGAGCAACTTGGTCTGCGAGTGTTTTGCAAGACGAGCAAATTTTTCAAATAAAGATTAATTTGATAAAACCAGCGAGGCCTTGCAATACGAGTAGTACGTATACGCTTTGTCTGCCGAGCGTCACGTGATCACAACTGACATACGAGTGCTTTGGATTACAAACACGTTTCCGGAACGAATTATGCTCGCAATCCAAGGTCTTACTGTACTAGCCTTTTGCCCGTCCAAGGACGGGTGTATTGCCGTAAATCTGAAACTTGCAAGCGAAAAGCAGACCGTGACGTGATATTCATTGCATCCATTCGTGTGCAATTTGTAAGGGCGCGGTGACACAAGACTTATTTCATTTAAAGGTTATAATCCCTTGTTCATCATGACGTCCTTTTTACTTCTATGTCTCAACAGCGTTACGGAGATCGCGTGACGTGAGGATTCTGCCTTTATAGTGAGGGTTATAAGTTGACGCTGAAGAGGACGTCACCTGTTCATGATTATTAATGAGGGGGGCTGTTCGATGTGGAGTGACGTCACCTGCTCATGATTATTAATGAAAGGGGCTTGTCGATGTGGAGTGACGTCACACGCGGGACACACAGACATTCTTGGCTCATTATAGTCGTAAATAATCTCTGTTCAGAGAGGAGCGGTAGCGTAGCAGTTCACGCATCATACAAACATATTTGGCAATCAGAGTTCGATAATTATCGGCCACAGCTAACATGAGTGGAAAGTTATCCTCTGAACTGGTCCTGGCCTCCCCTACCTTCGCCAACCCCAAATGGCAAGCATTTGGTTGGCTATGTTTTCAGTTTTCAGTTTATTTATTTTGGTATAGCCCTGTGAGCCATTCGGCTCTTGAATCGGGTGCAACCAGAACAAACAAAAAAAACACGAACAAGAAAAAACATCTTAAAGTGACTATGTGACTGTGCAAACAGAAAGTAGTTCTACATACATACGTAAAGTACGGTCAAACATAACCAGCACAGGTGACCAGCACGACGTGGTTGACGCCTTCATCGAGCAGTGCATTTACCATGGCTAATGGGGATATGGATTCCCCCTCCCCACTCCCATTCCCCGTAAGAAAAGGTCCCTTCACTCAATGTCATGAACCTCCACACGTCCGATTAGCACGGTTTGCGAAAGGAGTTCAGCATACATGAAACAAGACCCGCACATGGCAAACACAAACATGACATGGACCTGCCAGCCTAGGTCGATCAGCACTATGCAATACACTGTAACACATTTAACACAAAGCAGGCTTTCGCGACCAATATTATGATTCATTATTGATGTTTTTTTGAGACAGCGTGAGTAAATTCCCAATGTGTGTCGTGCAGCCTCCTCCACCCGACACAGCCACGTCACAATTCTGGCAGTCGCCTGATGCTGGTTGTGGTTAAGCGCGAAACGTCGTACCAAATAATTAAATGTGTGTGGATTGCTGTCAAACAAAGGCGAGACGCTGAAACAGTAATAACTCGTATTTGGTCAGTGTCGGGTGGAGGAGGGTTGTACGACACACACGATTTAGCATTTTATTCACGAGGCGATCTGACCTCCAAAAAAAAACATAAATTCCGAATGATACTGCAATACAGTTCGACGCAATGATCGGTACCAGATATCGTTACGAATCAATTCCTACCACCCGAACACGAGACGCCGATTAATGATTCCCGGGACCGGTGGCAACCCCAGACCAGCCCGCCTCCAGCTGCGCTCCGACTCGGCCTAGTTGCCCGGCCAGGCTTAGCCCGCCCGAGCCGACAAGGCCCGAGGGGGCACGGGTGGGGGGGGGGGGCGACCCTCGTGGGTCCAGACCAACAATGGAACATCCCTCACCAGAGAGAGGGCCACCTCCATCATGGGCGCCAGGGAGAGCGCGGCGTGGAAGAGCGGCACGGCATCGCACAGCAGCACGGCCCGCGCGGGGCCGTTCTCTCCTCCGTTGTGGTGGCGGTGGCCGCCGGCGGCCTCCCGGTCTCCCTGCTCGGCCGCGACGCCGCCCTCGTCCCGCTCCCGCTCCTCCCGCTCGAGCTTCTCCTCCGTGTGATCGTCGGCGCGCCGGGCGGCCAGCAGCACCCCGCTCACGGGGCAGTGCGGGTAGCGCGCGGCGTGCAGCTGCATCTTGGCATAGGCGAGCACCGTGAGCGTCAGCTCCACATCGGCCATGGTGTGCTTTGGAAGGCCTCCTAGGTAACAATGGGGGGGTTGGCTTGTTTTTTGTTCAACCTCCTGAATAAGATTTTTTTTGTTGTTCAACCTCCTGGATCAGATTTTTTTTGTTCAACCTCCTGAGTAAGATTTTTTTTGTTCAACCTCCTGGATCAGATTTTTTTTTGTTCAACCTCCTGAATCAGATTTTTTTTTGTTGTTCAACCTCCTGGATCTGATTTTTTGTTGTTGTTCAACCTCCTGGATCTGATATTTTTTTTTGTTTGTTCAACCTCTTACGAGCTTTGATGGTGTGAGCGTTCCGCAGGGGGACCGCCTCCCTTTCGTTTCGCCTGGGACTCGCCGGCGCAGGCGATGCCCCCGCTGCAACGTTGACCAGACGTGGAGTAACAGAGGCCACCTCCAACCGCGGCGGACGAGACAGCGGAGTCGGTGGGCCCGGACCCTTGCTCGCTTCGTCTCCGTAAGGCCAAGGCGGGCGGGCGGGCGGGCGGAGCGAGGAGGAGGAGCGAGGAGCGGCACTCACCGCCTCCTCCTCCTCCTCAGCCGTGACGTCCAGGAGGTCGCCATGGTTTGTAGTGGTAGGGGGGGGGAGGGAGAGACGCCGTGGGGGGTGGGGGGCACCATCTTACTGTGGGGGAGCAAACCCATTGTGTGTGTGTGTCTCTGGGTCGAAGCGATGCTGCTGGAAATGATTCCCTGCCGGAAAGCCCTTTGGCTGATGGGATTTGTTGAAAGCCAGTTGGGTGGAGGCACTGATTATGTGAAGGAGACTTGTTGTCCGTTTCATTTCCACCATCGTCGTTCTGTACAATGGAAACGTGAAAGAATTTGCTCGTCTTGAATCAATGCTGCTGACATTATGCACTCACCCCCATGAGTTCGTTCAACTTATGGGGATGTATGAACCAGGGTCGGATTAAAGTTAATACCTGTCAATTCAGACCTGATTTGGTCGCCCGTGCCCTAATACATCTCAACGTTCATCCTACAAAGTCCTATCACAAGGGAGAAACACAAACAAATAGACAACACACGTTTTGCCCGTATTGAAACGGCTGTACGCAGTATGGACCTGAAAACTAAATTTCCACGTGTAAGAATACGGGGTAAACTGTATGGGTTTACAGCTATGGTTTGTGTCGGCCCTAGGCACTTCTGTTTTGCAGGGCTTCAATGATAAAGTCCCTCAATTGGTACTGTTGCCCATGTAACTACCGCCGCTGTTACTCGCTTTATTGTAAGAAAACACCATTTGAAAATGTTATTGTTAATTTTGCATGTGAAAAAAATATCGAAAAGTTCATCTCCAGTGTTACATTCTCTCACCTTATGACAAAAAGAACCATTGACATTTCTCTGCCTCTTTTTATATACACTGTGCCTACCCATGCACTTTATAAATATATGTATTAAAGAAGATATCTAGGTTACATTTTTTTCATAACCCCCCCCCCAAAAAAAAACCAGTCAAATTTAGTTTTCGTAGGCCCTACTGGATAATACAGGCCTGGTATGAAAACACGAAAACACTTTTATATTTAGTGTGGAGAGGGCAGATATATAAACGAGACCTATTGTCTATTGATTACTATCGTCGTTGTGGAGAATTTACTTATATACATGTCAAAGTAAAAAAAAGTGTATTGTCCTGAAACAATGCTGCATGATGCACTCCCAAAAGGCCGTGGGGCTGATGGGATGGTGTCATAAATTAGTTTTCGTGTAGAGAAACGGTGGTCACCTGGACATTGTTGAATGTGCGGCTAAACTGGTGATGGCAGGACTCGTGTGCACTTGTATCAAGTGTAGTAGTACATCCCTCCGATGGAGGCACATGTCTTGGTTGGCCGATGATGGAGATGCGTTGTAAGTTACATCACGGGACCTTCTTTGCCAGTATCAAAATATGACAATAGGTTTTCCCATTTTTTCTGGCAACAAAACAGTTGTGTTAAGATGTTAAAACACCAAACTGAAACCTTTTACAAGGAATCGTGTCTGCATTAACCACAATACTTGCGGTGAGAATGCGAGTATTGTGGTTAATGCAGACATGATTCCTTGTAAAAGGTTTCAGTTTGGTGTTTTAACATCTTAACATATGGTTTTTTTTTGCCAGAAAAAAGGGAAAACTTATTCTCATGGGTTGTAAGTGTTTGGAGAGGCTTTAGGCGATTATTGAACGTTAAGCTGAACCTGCCCTATTATTCGGAAACCAAATAACTGAAGGGCTGTGATTTTTTTAGACATCCAAATTCTCACAAATGACCTTGTGCCGCTGCTGGGTTGGCAATGGTGCACAAGCGCAGTTGACGAAAACTGAACAGTTGACAATAGCACTGTAGCCTTAAAATGAAAAAACACGAGGCCCAGAGTTAAAATATACATGTAATTGCTTAAAATTACCCAAATACGTTATAGTGTTTATAAATGTAATACTTTGAGGTACACTCACGACCCTACACGTTAATGTTACGTGAATATCGGTGCTTATCAGCTGTATTGAGCGCAATGAAACTGCCGCAATATTTGAAACATCCATAATTTAATTCATTTCTGTACCGTACCACAATTGTCTAAAATATGAATGCACAAGGCATCCAGGCAAAATGTATTTAAAGATTTGCCATTTGTTAAGGAAACATCCCAGTATATATGCCAACGTTGGGCCAACTTTCAACGTTTTCTGCGATTTTCTCAGGTTGGGTTGATTATTTTTTTAAAATAAAGGGCTTGTTTTTACACGTAAGATTACAGGTGATAAGGTTAAACAGTTTAATTCAGACTGTGAAGCTAATGGAGAGTAATTTTAAGGACGGTGTTTCTCTTAGCTGATTATATTATTTAGTGATATACTGCTTGCATGATTGGCAGTAGTGTACAAATAACACAAACTCAACACATTCGTCAATGGAACACTATGCCCTTTCTTCCATGTGCTATGAAGGGCCATTACCCGAAACGTCGCCTGTTAGTTTATCTTTCAAGACCACAGTTTTGCATTGACCAATGTGTTACGTGTTTCACAATGGACCTTCATCCATAATGTGCCATGAAGATGGGCCATTGCCCGAAACGTCGCCTATTAAATACACTTGTGTTCCCTTTTAAGGCCACGGTGGCTCTTGGCTGCTGTGCTTCCCTTCGCAAGATGCCCGCCGTCACTTCGCTGTGGCCAGGACTGCCTCTGACGTCACGTGGACACGCCCACTCGCGTTTAGAATTCGTAGCCCGCTTCAGCGCCGGCTCCGTTATCCGACTCATGCCGCCCGTTGCGCGTGCGAACTATGAAATTAAATTCACCCAATCTCGCAACCCCATAAACACAAAACAGCCGTTCCGACCCGGACGGTGCGCCCCATGAGGGCATTCGCAGGGCATAAAGGGCATTCATGGGGCACTGGATGGACGGAAGGGCAATCAGGTCGAGACTGAAGGACGGTGTGAGACACGCATAACAGCCGCGCCGGGTAGAAGGGCAGTCAGGGGCCAAGGACGGTCTCCGGCACGGCAGACTAGACGGGCATTCGGGGGCAAGGTTTTGACAGAAGGGCATTTAGAGAGGCGGTTCTGTCAGGTTAGGGGGTGGCCCTCTGTCAGGAGGAGTCATAAGTGCATTCATCGGTAGATTTGGTCTCTCGCAGGGAGAGTGAGCATTCGGGGGCATGGCTGAGCAGAATGGCAGTGAAGAGCAGCATTTATAGGGGCAGGCTCGGAGTTGCCCCCATCAGGGAAGGTCGGATAGGGCAATCGGGGGCAGTTTCTGCCTTTAGCAGGGCACACCTGAACTGGCCGCCTCTTAAAGTAGAAAGCCAGAAGGGCAATCGGATGTAAGATCGGCTTCCAGTACAGCGCACGCCAGAAGGGCATGAACGAAGCAAGACTCGCCCTATTATCTAGTCAAGTAATAAGGGCATTCCCGTGCAGGTTCAGCCTGCGAGCAGGGCAAGTGGGAAGAGGATTCTTGGTAGGGCTGGCTTCTGGCAGGACACGGTAGTGGAAAGGAATTGGGGGTGCAGGGTTTGGCCACAGCCGGGCATTGGAGACGCGAGGCCTCTGGCGGGGCAGCCCAATGGAGGAGGACGCTAGGCCGGGTGTGGTGGCCCACGGGGCCGCGGGCGGCTGGGCCCGCTTGGCCCTGCTCTACGGGGCCGTGTCGGCCGTCTTCTGCGTGGCCGTGGGGCACCGCCTGCTGCGAGCCCGCCTGCGGCCCGGCGTCCGCGCCGCCTGCAGCCTCCTGCTGCTCTTCATGGGCGAGCCGCTGTGCGCCGCGTTCGCGCCCGGGGTGCCGGGCCTCCTCGCCTTCGCGCTCGCCTGCCTCCTCTCCTACGCCACGCTGCCCTTCACGGCCTCGCTGCCCGCCGCCGGGAGGGCCGTGCTCATCGTCGGTACGGGTTTCGTTGCCCCAGCCCTCGTGTCGTGGCTCTTGTTGGACCACGTTCCCGTCTTTACGATCAGCTCCGGGCAGGCGAGGCTGCGTTGGCTGGGTCACGTAGCCCGCATGCCCGGCAAGGGAATGCCCAAGCAGCTTCTGTTTGGCCGCATAGAGGGGGGCGGTGGCTAAACGGGCTCGAGAAGAGATTGTAGATTGATGCGGTACGGGAGGATGTGGGAGCTGAGTGGACTTGCCGAAGACCGGTACCAGCGGTGTCGAGATCGGCGTCTGTGGAGGAGGCTCGTGAAGGAGGCTGCTGGTACGGGCAGTGGGAGGCAGTCGCCCTCCAGCGACAACGGAGGGCAGAAGAGCGACGCTCACAACAACGAGCGGAGCGCCGCCGGGCGAATTAAAATGCAGCGAGTTGGCACAGTAGAGGGCAGAGCTGGTGAGTCAACCCATGGCACCCGGGTCTGCCCCGTGACCTGTCGGCGAGCATTCAACACTTCAAGTGGCCTCGAAGTGCACCTAGCCTGGCACAAGCGCCGTGGCGACGTCACCGTCAGTCACTTCGTGGCGAATGGCGGGTGTTTGGTATTGGTTGCTGTGGTTAACGCGTTTGAACGTGCGCCCGATACGGCCCTAGACATCACTTAATTCGCCCCTTGGGCCAAACACGGCCCGAGACTTCATTTAACACGGCACCGCTACTTCGTAACATGCCGGCATGCACGCTTTGCGAGGGCACCGCTAATGAAATCGATCTGTCACTGCCGGGATCTATAGCCGCGCTAATCGGGTACTAGAAGGCGGCGGAATAATGACGACAACAACAACACCGCGTCTGTGTAATGTGTTGCCCCTCGCTCAGCCGCGTCTGTCGCCCTACGTAGCCAGCCGTGCTCATGAGAGTTGCGGGGGAAGGACGACAAGCAAGTGGCTCGAAACGCGCGCCCATTCATGTTTCACCCGCCACAGTTTTATTTTAACGTCACGCTGTTGGTTGGCCCCCGTAAAAAAAACAAATTTTTTTTACAGTAAAACCTTGGATTGCGAGCATAATTCGTTCCTGAAACGTGTTTGTAATCCAAAGCACTCGTAATATCAAAGCACTCGTATATCAGTCGCGATCACGTGACGCTCGGCAGACAAAAGCGTATACGTACTGCTACTCGTAATTGCAAGACCCTCGCTCGTTTATTAAATGAATATTTATTTTAAAAAATGTGCTCGTCTTGCAAGACACTCGCAGACCAAGTTACTCGCAACCCAAGGTTTTACTGTATATAGGTTGGCCCACGCCCTGTTGTTGATAAGTGTTGTAGCACGGATCGCATCAAGCCAATTGTTGCCGGCCTCAGATTTGATGCAGAGAACCTTTGACTGGACGCACATTGACCAGCCCTGTGGAAGTATGGTCAAAAGACAACTCCGCGACTCGCACCGCGTGGGATTTGCTGACCCGACCCAACTGGACATCTGTGATTAAGATCTTCATAGCGCATCGGACTCCTGGATCAATAACGGTTCTGCTTCTGATGGGGCGCAGGGGGAGGGCAGTGGCGGTAGTTTTCATCCAGGAGTGGACATCTTATTTAAAGCCAGGACTTCGATTAAAACTTTGATAATGTGTCTTTTTAATAAATACATAGCTTGAGACGAACAAGATATATATTGTTATTAATTCTAATAAGTGGAATTCTTTCTCTTTTAAATACAAACTTGTGAAATACAAACTTGTGAAATGCCTTCAGTGTCACATTTACCCGACATTAATCTCCCTCTTGTGTGCCTGTAGCCTGGCTCTACCCTCCCGCCCCTCTCACTTCCGAAAATAACAAACACAAAAATCCCCCCCTCTTCCTCACTCGCCCTCTCGATGCCCCCCCCCCCCGCAGCTTTACACCGTCTTGAGACGCGGGGGCACATTCAGACGCTTTGTAAATCCAAACCGCGCCTTATCTCTCGCTCCCAGGTTCCCGTTATCTTCGTCTTGCCTCCCGTCGTTGTTGTGCTCGCCACCCCCGCCTCACTTTCTCTCTGTCTCACCTCTCTCTGTGTCGCTCTCCATCTCTCTCTTGCTCTCTCTCGCTCTCTCGGACAGCAGACGTTTGTCTGCCCTTCTCTGCTTTAGGTCCCACCATTGCTCAGAAGGCACGCTTCTTTACATCATCGCAAACATCATCAACATCATCATGCCCAGCACCGTCATAATCATCGTCATCGTTGTCAGGAGTGGAGTGTGGTTGGCGTTGGCCCTGGTGCAAGGAGCACAAATGGGGTCCCCCTTTTTGTCAACCTCCCTCTTTGTAGACTGGCGCCTGTGCCCGTCGGCCCTGGTGCAGTTGCACCACCTGCACACTCGATATTTACGCCACTGATCATCAACATCATAATGACGATCGTCATAATGCCCATTATTGTCGCTATCATCATCATCACAGTCATCGTTATCTTCCAGACTATGGCTTTCATGAGAGCCAGTTCACCAGTTATATTAATTAGTATTCATACTTTGTTGTTCATTTTTGTGTTACTGATGCTTTGCTTCACCCGCACGAATTCGAAATCAAACGTATTCTTTCAACCGAGTAGGATGATTTTGCAGAATAAGACCATGTTTTCTATTGTCTTAACTGGTCGCCTTCCACCTCGTGGTGGCTAGGTGTGACCCGCTCATATTTGGAGATTGTCAACCCGCTCATACGGAACATCTGTGAAAACGAGCTTCATAGCTTATCAGATTCCTCCAGTCTAAAACAAATATTATGATTCTGAAAGGCTAAACGAGAATGTCGCGGTGTCGCGAGCCGCAAGGCGACTTCGCGTGGCGGTCACGTTGATCCGCTCGCCGTTTCCCGTGAAGTATTGCTGCGGTCGAGAGCTGGTGACGACTTCACTCTGTTTGGTCACCGTCTCTGCAGTCGCATTGAGGACTATCCCAGTAAACTTGCAAAAGTTTACCTGAAGGTGGCCCAACGTTGGCCCACTGCTTGCATGTTTACTCAAATCTTTGATCTCCCACTCGTGGAGTAAAGGGGGGGGGAAGGGCAGTATTGGGTTTGGAATCGATCCGATTGCAGTTCTTAGTTGTAAATTTTGATGTCCCACTTGAGGACGGTGCAGAGGAGAGATGTTAACTACCTCGCCTGGTATACAAGAGCTCGTGGGTTCGATTCCAACCCTGATGTTTGTATATTTGGAATTTGCGTGTTCTCCCCATGGTCGTGTGGGGTTTTCTCTGGGTCCTCCGGTTTTTCCCTCCAAATGCAGAAACATGCGCTGAGAGTATTTGGCTGCTATACATTTCCACATGACAAGCCACTTCGTTGAGCTATCATTTGTGGCCAGGTCGCTTCTAAGAAATCGCTATATAGCTCAGTAGACCTTATCTGGTAAAATAAAAGAAATAGTTTAAATGGTTTAATTTCCGGGTGTCTCCAATCCCTTCAGCTGCCGTCTTAGCTTGACAACATCGAGGAGAAGGAGGTGTTTGTTGCGGACTTCAGCACTGTTCCACAACACCGACCTCAATCACTCCACCACACATTTGCTGCTCGCCTGCAATTGGAGCAGTAGTCACTAAGCTGTCAACGGGGCCACCATTTCGGAAGTTCCGCCCAGGTATCACCGTGATCCATCGCCCCCTTTGCCATTCCTCCTGTCTGATAGACCTGGCCCGCATCATCGAGTGTGATGGTCCGTGAGCAGCACCCGGTTGATTGTGGACATGCCCACGTACGGTCGGGTTTTTCCATAGCCCAATAACCACGCCTCCTTGGATGGTTGTGCGTGCATGCATATGCATGCCACTGTGGGGAGCGGTTAGTATAGTGGTTAACGCGCTGCTTTACGAACCTGGTAACTCGAGTTCAATTCCTGTGCACGGCCAACACCAATGACAGTTATCTGAACCAGTCCTTGGCCTCCCCTAGGTCGACTCAGCCTCTAATGAGTATCTGGTTTGGTCTCGAAAAACATCGCCACTGAGGAGACAAAAGCAGCCGGCATGGTGCTGGCCACCCACTCGTGTACCGTGCCGGCCTTCCTAGGTGGTTGATGACCGCACTTGCCCCAACAGTCTGTTTAGGCTATACAGCTGATCTTTGTCTTTGTGCGTGCCACCAGGCTGTGAGTCGCCCGCGAGTCACGTGCTGGCCAGGCGTCTCGCCGAGCTCGGCTGCCGCGTCTTCATCGGGGTGAGGGCCTCTTCGCACGCGGAGGCCGGCCGTATCGCCGGCGACTTGGCCGGCGACCCCTCGCGCGACCCGGCGAGCGGTCGGCCCGGCCCGGTCCACGTGCTGGGCCTGAAACCTGGCGACCCTCGGAGTGTCACCGCCGCGGAGAAGGAGGTCCGGTCGCTCGTGGGGGCCGACGGTGAGGGTCCCGTTTTCTCCCGTCGCCCGTGCTTTTCCTCCGCCCCCTTAGACTCCCTTTTTGCGTCTCGGTCGCCCGCACCGATCGCCCAACCCGAGACGCCCTGAGTTCCACCACGACTCAACGCGCGTTCCCTCGGCACCGCGTGGGGCTGCTCATGCTGATGTTCTTTCAGGGGGTAGAATGGTCAGCACACTGGGCTCCTGGCATGGCAGCTGAAACATTGGGCACGTTTCTTAAATCCCAGCTGGATAACTGGGCACACGCCACAGTCAATCGGCAGGTCATTTGCGGTGGGGTAAAGTGTGGGTGCCTCGCATCTCTTCCAAGATTCCTGGCCAGTATGGAAGAGTAGGCCAAGTGCCCCCTCGATGGATTTTTCCGGAGCTCAATCTCCATTGGAGGCCATTCCACCACACAGTGGTGCGAGTGAGCAACTGTAGGGTCGCACCATCGTCTCAGTCTGTGGTGGTCATGGAATGAGAATCTTTATTTATACGGTCGAAATCTGATGAGCTATTAAGCTCTTTTTCACAGATGTTCCAGTAGGGGTGGGTTGGAAGTTACAACAACAATGATCGAAGTGCAAAGTATAGGAAAGGTAAGCAAATCACTAAAAAGAAATACGTAAAATAGATAAAGGTATATTCGCTTCAATTGCATAAGTACGCCAATTCCCAAGCTTGGACAAGGCAGCAAAACAACAGCACAAACGGTGCCGGACCACACCACGACAACACGCAGCCCCTCAATAAAAATGTGCACGGCCCCCCACACGTGCAGGCATTGCCCAACTCCCGTGTTCGCTCGCGCTCGGTGTGACCGTGACCGCGTGTCCCGTGCAGGTCTGTGGGGGCTCGTGGTAGTGGCGGCCGCCGACGGCCGCGCCCCGTGCGGCGTGGGGATGCTCTCGGAGGTGCCCGACGTCGGGGCCTACCGGCACGGCCTGGAGCGCGGCCTTCTGGCCCCCATGGAGCTGGCAGGGGTCTTTCTGCCACTCGTGCGACGGGCCTGCGGGAGGGTGGTGTTTGTGGGGCCCGGAGCTGGTACGGCTCGTGGGTCGGGGGGGTCGCGGTGACGGTCTAAAATAAACTAAACTATTTTTATTCCGATTCTCTCTCTAGGGCACGTGCCTGCGGAGAGGTGATTGGAATGTGATGGTTGAACTATAGGCGCAGCAACTTGTAGGTTGGGAGTTTGACGTAGCCGGAAAGAGATGTAGATGACAACAAGGAAGAGTCAGAATATTTAACGAGACTGGAGGGATCCGATGAGCTTTTTTTTCACATATGTCCAGTAGGGGTTGGGTCAGAACGTTACAGCAACAAACAATACGAAAACAAAACAGGAGTGCAATTTATAAGAAAGGTAAACAAATCACTGAAAAATAAAACATATGAAATTAAACATTTTTTTTTATCTTACCACGTAAGACCTACTGAGCTGTATAGCTCTTTTTCAGAAGTGACCTGACCACAAATGATAGCTCAAAAAAGTGGCTCATACTGTGGCAAATACTCTAAAACGCATGATGTTGATTTTAAATTTGGAGGGAAAAGCCGGATGACCAGGAAAAAAATCAACACGACCACAGAGAGAACACGCAAATTCTAAATATACAGGCCTCAGGGTCGGGATCAAACCCACGACTTCCTGCATACCAGGCGAGATAGTTAACATCTCACCACCATGGCAACCACCAGGAGCATCATAGCCACGCTAATCGGGTACTAGAGGGGAATAATTTTTTTGCGTACGGCAATATGTTCGGGAGCTAGATGCCAATTTCCAGATGTGCTTGCCGTGAAGAGAGAGAAAGTTCGTGACGTTTTGGTATTCCTCCTCTCGAGGAACGCAGACCACGGTGGTTTACTATATGCTCCCTAGTTTTGGTCACATTTTATTTTTGGGTTACATTTCATATTTTCAATAACCTGCCAACAAATTTTTTTCTCACAGTCATCTGTTGTTTCGTGACGTCTACCTTGCGGTTGCCTGCCAAGGATATTCAAAAGTCATATTGGGCCCTCGGGAAGAAAAATGTTCCCCACGATTTATCCCGAACGTTCTAACCGGCTTGCTTTTCTCTACTATGTCCGCCCCGCCCCTCACCCCGCTGTCACTCTTAAGCGGTCGAGGCGCCAGCGGGCGGCCCGCAAGCGGTGGTAGCAGCGGCGCTGGCTGCGTTCTGCGTGGCGCTGCGGGGGCAGCTGGGCTCAGAGGGCACGCATGTGTGCGGGGTCGAGGTGCCAGGTGGGTGTGCCGGCGGAGCTCCGTGCCCCGAGGGCCGGCCACGCATCGGCGACCGTAAGCCGCCATAATCCAGCAGTGGATTGAGAAAGGAGGCCACGCATCCCGTTTATGTTCCCGTTCAAGGAGCATAAACCATCACGCGAACATCTTCACCCGCAGCGGCTCTTGGCTAGCCATCGATCAAAGACGGTCACTGCATCGCGCCCTATCGGGTGTGCTTCTGCGGCCATCTGGAACGATATTAGGAAGCCACGGGATCTATGCACATTTAAATCTAGATTGAAAACTCATTTCTTAAAAAAATAATAGTCTTTAGTTTGTTGTCCTTCCCCCACACCTACAGTTAGCACGCTTGGCTACATGTGGTGCTAAATAAGTTCAACATACATACCTACATACGCATTACGGTACGAGATTAGACCGATGTTTAACACGCGGCTCGCTCCCACGGGATGCTGCGCGAGAGTGCCTGGACACGTGCGTTGAGGTCGTTTTGCAGAAAAATTGTCTCTTTGTCGGGGATGGAGCAGAGGGGGTGGACGTGTTTCAGGGCAGAGGGAGGGCAAACGTGATGACGGGCGGAGGAGGAGTGGATATTAAAGACTGCCCGCGGTGAACGGTTTGCAAACTGAGCCGTTCGCTCGACGCAAGAGTCCCACAGATTACATCGCGCAGTTCAATATCGCTGGCAGCCATGTTAAGTATAAACATTAATAACGCCCCCCCCCCCCCCCCACTACGACATGGCTTGGGTCAGCCAAGCCCAGGCCTGCCCAGGAGATAACGCATCCCATTGGGCTTTCACCTGCAACGATAATAAAGGACATTTGAGTGAAGTGTAATAGCCCATTAGCGCGAATGCAATTTGGGTTAATGTCGCACTCGGCAAGCGTTCCCTAAGTGGTCCTGCAATGACGCGTCGATTGAACTCACTCGAGTCGTGCGCTCGGAATGCTTGTAGCGTACGTGCGTCCTGCTCGCCGCCTTTGATATTATTACTCCAATAGTGATGCTAAACTAAAACTACAAGCTAAACCATTTTTTTTTATTTTACCAGGTAAGGCCCACTGAGGTGTATAGCTTTTTTTTTTCAGAAGCGACCTGTCCACAAATGCTGGCCCAACGAAGTGGCTTATCACGTGGAAATTGATGTCAGCCAAATACTCTCAACGCACGTTGATTCTAAATGTGGCGGGAAAAACTCGGGAGAAAAATCCACATGACCATTGACAGAACACGCAAACTCCAAATATACAGGTGTCATGGTCAGGATCGAACCCACGACCTCCGGCATACCAGGCGAGGTAGTTAACATCTCGCCACCGTGGCACGCCTGTTAGATTCATTCCAATGTCCCGAACTAAGCTACAGAAATTAACGACTCCCGACCCCGTTACCAAGTTTAGGCAGAGTTAACTGTTGTAATGCTTTTGTAAAAACGGGACAAATAATCGAATCATGACCATGAATCATAATACACCAAATCACTGGGTGGGTGGGAGGATCGGTGGGCGGGTTTGCTATTAATCATCTCGTGTCCGTTACGCGTTACAGCGGTCTGACTCTCGGTCACTCTGGCATCGGCAGATTCCTCCGGCAGCGAGTGGGACCCTCTCCGGCCATGCGGCCGGGCAAGGACGCCTCAGGAGACCTCGGCAGGGGCAACCGAGGAGGCCACCGAAGAGGCCTCACCAACGGGTGTCGCCGAGACGGTGGCGGCCCTGCTGTCCAAGCGACCCGCCGAGAGGTACCCGCTGCGCGGTGGGGAAGGCCTCCTCGGCCACGCGTGGGCTCTCGCCCGTCGGGCGTCCGGCCCGGCGTGACGCGCTTCGGGTCCATCGGAGGTTCACGAACTCTTATTGTGCGTGCACTGCGCAGCCGCCACCTATCCGTCGCTGAGCCTGCCCAGAAAGAAACGCTCACGCGTCGTCGAGCCGAGCGCAACGCTTCGTGGCGATGGCGACCCTCTTCTCGTACCGGACGCCGCGGCTGCAAGACCGCACGCAAGCGAAGCGACGGTGTGTGCAAGACACGGCGTATGGACGGCAAAGGGTGCCATTGTGTCCAGTGGATCAGTCCTCCCCGTGTGTCGTCGTCGTCGTCGTTGTTGTATGAAACTCGTGGGTGTTTCCCCCCCCTCCTCCCCCACCCCCCCGGCCTGCACTATCCTTCTGTCACGGTGCGATTCGTGAAGTTGGCCTTAAGCGGGAAATGCCGTCGACCGTTCACGTCGCTTCCTCCGCCGCGTTCGCCCCGGTGGCATCGCAACTTCGTTTCCGAGGACGGCTCGGGTGAAAGCTTCCCTTCGGAACGGGTGGCGCGTGGACGCGGTGCAAGCGAGGCCCATGGCCCGGTTTGGTGGCGGTTCTCACCCGGATAAGTCTGCCAAAGGAATCCGGGGGCCGTGCCCACTACACTACACAAACTGGGCCAGGTTTGGCTTGCTGACCAGTGGTGGTGGGAACGTGGCATGGTGCAAGAGCCATAGACGCAAACTTTTTGTGCCGATGCTGTCGTGCGCAAGGCGCAGGTTGCAAACGTGACCGTGCTGTAGTATGGCAGCGCTGCCAGTTAAGAGTCGGTTAATCGTCCTTCGAGTCGTGAATAAAATGCACACTTACTTTGTCGGAAATGAACAATGGTCGTCCTTTGTGAGAGCGATATTGTGCCATAGCAATGTGGAATTTCCACTGTGACTCGGGGGCCGCCAATAGAGATGATCGTGATGACGACCACATTTCGCGCTCGTGTGGATGAGTGGAGGAGACGTTGAGCGAGGCCGCGGTGGGCTTTCAGTAATGAACGAAGATGACCAGAAGAGGGCACCATTGCATCAGGAAGGCAAGGTCTCCTCCCTGGAAAAGGACGGAGTTCATACACGTGCGGTCATGAACCAGATACACGTGCGGTGATTAACCAGATACACGTGTGGCGATGAACCAGATACACGTGTTGTGATGAACCAGATACACGTGTGGCGATGAACCGGATACACGTGTGGTGATGCACTGGATACACGTGTAGTGGGTTCACGGGACACGGAGACGGTGGAGAAGAGGCAGCACTGTTTATTAAAGCTTGGCAAGGGTTACACTGAGAAGGGGTAACGGCCCCTTCACCCGTATACACGCTGGGACACCCCCTAGGCTATCAGCCTAACCACTGTGCTCCCAGTTCCTCCGCTACAGGCGCTAGGGGAGGCTATCCGACCTGGCCCTGGTCATGGCACAGGTCACGGCACCCCACCAACCAGACCGACCCTTAAAAGGGCTCCGGCTCTGAGGCTCTGGGGCCGCACCACCGGCGTACCCTGCCGGTCCTCAAAAGGACAGCGGTCAGGGAAGTCCCAGGGTCCATCTAGCCGGCCTTCACTGGTTCTTCATTCTTGGCCCCAACACACTGCCCCGAGCTCTCTGTTTCCCCGCCCTTTATACCCATACACCACTGAGAGGCGGGGCTATCGCGGACGTGGTTGAAGCCACCATGATGTGACTGTGTTCCCTTCCCGCAACACCCCTACACACGTGTGGCGATGCACCGGATACACGTGCGGAGGTTCATGAGTTTCACTTGTAGTTACTGGTCATTGTCAACATTCAGGTGCATGAACTATTTTAATATGCTTATATACACACCTCTTAATTAACTCGCACTCACCAGCACGGTGAAATATAATAAAGTAACCCTCCACGACTGATGAAGCATGGCGAGACCCTCATCCAGCAGTAGATCGGTAGAGGGTCTGTAAATCTATATTTCAAACTCGGCTCAAGCCTCCCTTAAACCACGTGACTTCTGTTTGGCCACTCCCACTCTGAATCCCCTTTTCATGGCGACGCCTCCTGTGAGAACAGACGCGGCTCCGTGCAGCAGTGTCGAGGCCCTGATGCACCCTCTTCGTCCTCCCTCTCCTCGCCTCTCCTGACCCCCGTGCCCCCGTTTCTCCACTCCTTTCTCATCCTTTTCCTCTCATTCCCCATCTTTCTAATCTCTCTTCCTTTCCCATCCCCATCTCTTTTCCCATGCATCACACACCCTCACCTTAATTTCCCGCCTCCCGTGGTGCCACGGGTACAACAGTTGCGAGCTTATTACCGCTTCATAGGTTTATCACGGACGGTGGTGGGTCCTTCATAAATAACGGTCCACGAAGCAGTCCTTTAAAGAGCCGCACGCGCGCTTCGGAGCCGCAGGTTGCCGACCCCCGAGTCGAGGAACTTCGCTCGATCGCCGTCGGGAATGTAAACGTGTCGCGGAAACTGGCGGCGGTGGCGTTGCTTTCGCGTCCGTCCCCGCGGGGCACGTGGCCTCGCGGGAGGGACACCGATTACCGCCGCCGAACATCTCGACATGATCCAGCAACAATCAATTGTGAATGAATCAGAAACAAGCGTGAACGTAACGCCTTGCCCGCTGTGCACGTGGCTCGCGGACTCGCGCCGTCGGGGCGTCTCCTGCTAAAACACATGTGCTTCGGAGAAGGGCCATTGCCCAAAACGTTACCTATTATAGATGTTTAATTTTAGGGCCACGCACACGCGCGCGCACATGCACACACGGGATTGTTATTGACGATTGTGTTGGGTTTGTTGTTTGTTTGTGCACCACTGATGACGCAGAAGCAGCAACATCACCACCATAATCTGTTTAATTTAAAATCTGCAACATCTCAGTTCCCCCTGCTGTATTCTTCGTCGGATGGGGGACCGAAGGGAGCGTGGGTGGGAGAGGAGGTGGAAGAGGAGCCGAATGGAGAGTGGGTGTCATTATATAGCCGTATAAGTGAGCGGTGGCGCAACGGTTAGCGCGCTGCGCTACGAACCCGGCGACCCGTTTTCGATTCCCGCTCACGGCCAACACCGGTGACGATTATCTGGACCGGTCCTGGACCTCCCCTAGGTTTACTCAACCTCAAATGAGTACCTGCTGTGGGGTGCAAACATCCCCTCTGGGGAGACAAAGGCGGTCGGGCGTGGTGTTGGTCACCCACCACCACGCGTACCGTGCTGTCCTTCATAGGCGCTGGCTAACAGCACTTGCCCCAACAGTAAACTACGGGGGGATCTTTGTATAAAGACGCAGGGGCAGACGGAAGGAGGGAAAACGCGCGCGATGGAGGTGAAGCGACAACGATGGATTGTTTTTTTCGTGGGACACCGATCGATGGTTGAGGCCTTCATCCATTCATCCAGCAGTGGATAGATCATGGCTGAGGATGAGGGGACGCGCAAACCTCCCCCCGGAATGTGCGCCTGGTGCCCCCCCTCCCTCCCCTTTCTCTCCCACTCCCTAACCAACCTCTCTACCCCCCCCCGCCCTTACTCCCCTCTACCCCCCTCACTCCCTCTCCTCTGCCCCCATCTCCCTCCTCGATACCCCCACCCAGCTCTCCCCCCCCTGCCTCTCTGCGGCCAAACTCTCCCACCTACCCCCTACTCCCTCTCCTCCCCCCCCAACCCTCCCCGCTAACTCCATCCCCATCTACCCCCCAACACCCTCCAATCTACTCCCCTCCCTTCCCCTCTCTAACTCCTCTTTCGCATCTCCCCCCTCCTACTCCCCCCACTCCCCCGCTAACGCTGAGCACCCCGCTCGCGTGAGTTCGTTGCGGGCGACCCCCCCTCGCCCGCCCCCCCCCCCCTCCCACCGGGGGGGCCGTCCCACGTGGCTCCCATCCCCGAGTGGAGTGGCGGCGCCGGCCTCCTCCATCGCGCCTCTCGTCCGCCGGAGGAGCCGCTCAACTATTGACGCTTGGGTCGTTTTTAAATTTGACCCGGGCTAAAGGCCCGCAGAGCGACACGGCGACCTGGCCACCACGAACGGACAGCGGCTCAACAAAATGCGGGCGGCTCGTCGTCGTCGCGTGGAAATTTACAACAGCGGCCGACTACTCTTGTCTGTCGACTCTGAATGTGGAGGGAAACAAACCGGAGGAACCGGAGAGAGAGAGAGAGAAAAAAAAATCCACACTGCGCATTCCCCGCGTAATCTCGTCACATTGGCGCAGATAATTCGCTAATTACAAAATACAACCCAAGCAAGGATTTTTTTGGGGAGGGGGGGGGCTGCTGGGTGGGGGGGGTGTGCGGTAATTCATTTACATTTTAATTAGGCCGATATTTTGCGCTAAGCCGCATACAAATTGCGGCACCGCGCCGCGGCGCATGCATTAGCTGCGCGGGGCTAGCGCGCCGCCACATTCTTGTGTCTATGCATTAATCAGTATGCCCCCCCCCCCACCCACCCTCCCGTCACTGTCACACCCCCCCCACGCCCCCTACTTCGCTCACCCCGCGCGCCCCCCTCCAACAAGGTCTCCCACCGCCCTCTCTCATATCGAGAAATGTAACGCCCGTGCGTTCCACAGAGACTGACCTTTACACGAGTCGCGAGTCATTTCTCTGCCGCTCAATTGAACATTGACGCATTGATGTTCATCTCCCCGCTTGCAAGCCCTGCAGAGCCAACGGTGGAAATGCCACGTTCCTAAAATCGGGGACGTGAGTTACGTAGCCAACCGCGCGAATCGGTTGGCACACAGGGGACAACCGCCGTTGATTTTTCCCACGTAGTGGTACTTATTTTATCGACCCCGGAGGCAGCCATGGTAGGCAACTCCAAACCCCCCCACCTCCCCAACCCCAAACGAGGATTTGAACTGGAAAAGATTCCAATTGCTGCGAGCCGCCTCTGCCGCTTCCATCGCCCTCGGCTCTCCCACCGCCTCGCTCCCAGCGAGAGAAATTGGCACCGGTGTCGACTGGAAGGTGGACGCGGCGAGCGAGCGAGCGAGGGAGGGACGGAGGGAGAGGTGGACTTAAACAGAGCTCCCGGACAGAGGAGGCCTCCGGTCTCTCATTTCGAAACGTGCGTTTAGATCACGTCGATTATTATTAGGCTCCTATAAATGTCCACATGCATAATATGTCCACATGAATATCCACTTCGTTCGGTTATCATTTGTGGCCAGGTCGCTTCTGAAAAGAAGCTAATAGCTCAGTGGGCCTTACCTGGTAATATAAAAAGTTGTTTTATTTATATATTTTTTATTTGTTTACCTTTCCTATACTTTGCACTCTCCTCGTCATTTTGTAGTGTTTGTTGTAACGTTCTGACCCCGCGCCCCTACTGGGCACCTGTGAAACAGAGCTTTATGGCTCATCGGATTCCCCCAGGTAAAGCCCACTGAGCGATTAGCTTATGTTTCAGAAGCGACCTGGCCACAAATGGTCGCCCAACAAAGTGACTTACCATGTGGAAATGTATCGCAGCAAAACATAATCTAAATGATCTAAACGCATGTTTCTAAAAGAGGGGGGGGGGGGTGGTGACCGTGAATCGTGGAAAATGAATCTAATCCCTGCAAAGGTCTTAGGATGAACAAAAGAATGACAAAATACAGCCATGCGTTAACCCACTGCTGGATGAAGGCCTCGCCATGTCGGCTATGGCGGTCGTTCGACCACACCTCATCACGCTGGTCGGTACAGCTCTGGTGAAGAGGATGAGAGGCACGACCGGTTCAGATATCACTCGCCGCCGATGTTAGCCGTGACCCGGAATCAAACTCGGTCATTGCCGAGGGTCGTCGCGCGTTGCGCTAACCACTGTGCCACCGCTGCACCGTGCGACATCA